TAATGTGAAATTAATCACTTATCAAACCTATGTAAAGATATCCATATATGAAAGCCCCCATACTTACGGGTAATTAAAATGTGAATAATTAAAAGAGTAAAAATGCAATGCGCCTCCTATCCCCGGAGGATCGCACATATATCGGAGCACAAACTGCTCAGTTTTTTTTTCTTTACATACGGTATGTTATGTTGGAGAAAGACTGCTAGAGATTAGAAGCGATGGGAGTTTATCACACACCAGCTCTATGTGTCTTCATGAAGTGGGGATTTCAGCCATGGTTGCCCAGGGCAGAGCAACATTAATAAATAAACACATATACGGCTCTTCCACGTCCACGCGGCTCCAACAGACTTCATGCTGCGGGAAATGGTCTAAATATTAACGTCTACACCGTCTACCTGTGGACCGACTTTATTGTTTACTCCGTACTGGGCTCTTTATTAGAAACGCACGCAAAACTGGCCCGACTCGTACGTTACGTTTTTGACTACGAAGGTCGTTTATCTTCCGGTTCTGAAAAGTCAAATTTGTTCACATTTGAATTAGTAAAACTCTTAATGTTCTTTTTCTATTTTTTTGTTTTTTTAATATCACTGGTCAGGCTGAGAATTCATAATTTATTGGCTACAGGGGATGTTTTTCTTCCAGATTCAAACTGTTAAATTTGTTCACATTCGACAATGTAATAATTTTTCTCTTAATTTTTTTCCCTCAAGTCTAAATGGTTTGACGTCTTTTGGTTGGTGCCCTTGTGTATTATAATTTTTTTTTTTAATCTGTTGCTCTATTTCAGCTGTTTTGGGTAACCATTGTGTTTTGTCTGTGTTATGCTTGATGTATCCCATAGCTAACAGTTAGCATCTTTAGCAAGTATAGTTGGTGAAATTCTTTTTTAAACATTTTTAGATACTGTTAGCTATATTTGGATTAAAACATAGTTTTCTCACTTTTTTCACTATTGCTCAATACAGTTAAGCTCTCCAGCTAGCTTCTTATATAACTTCTTATTTTTTATTGCACTTGAATAAATACATTTAAATGAACCTTTTGCAGATTTCCATGTTCCATTACCATTTCTAAGCTCTTTGGATCGTCTGTTCTGTAATTATTTGGACACCGGCTAGTTATCTCTCCACATATTTACATGTTTCTACTTCTTTTGCTTTAAAATATTTCTTCTAAACATTTGTCAAACATCTAACTTTTAGTATTTTAGCTTTCAAATCTCAAATGGGCTAATATACATTTTTAGGCGATTGGTATGTGAAGAAAATCACACCAACAGCTGCCAGGGATTTGCCTGAAGCAGAGTTAAGGCATTTCTCACCTTAAAAACACAACAATGGAACCGATTCCCCTTTAGGTACCGTCTACAAAGACACCCTGCCAGATCCTCACATTCTTGTCCATTTTTATTCCTTCTTTTCTTCATTGAAAGGCCGACCAGTGACTACTTTCCGCCTCATGTGGCTTATTGTCAGTATAATCCTGCTCCCTGGTTCATTTCTTTTCCTGCTGCTGTGACACTTTCATTTTCCTAGGCTGGAATCAATAAGGTTCATCTTATCTTATTGAGGAAACGGTTGAAACAAATGGGAGCTTAACAGGAGACAGAAAAAATGACTTTCTGTCACTCTCATCTGTATTTCATTTTGTTCCTATAAACGCGGCTACCTTTCATGATTACTTTCACACCCACAATAAAAACGGGTGATTACAGCAGTTAAGTAAATGGGTTCGCACACATCATTATTAGGATGTCAGAAAAAGCCGGAGCAGTATGGCCCGACTCTTCGTCGTCAACTAACTTTGACTGAGGCTTCCAAACTGAACAGTAGGCCACAGGCTGACCGGGTGGAGGGGGGTGAAGCCAGTTTCTGTAGGCCGCTACTCCATGTCATTAATGTGCTGTAGCGCTAATACGGTCAACGAGCCCTCAGCGAAAGTGTTTGCTCCATCTGGCAAACGGAGTGCTGGCAGGGGCTGCCAAAAACACGTGGGCTGAGTTTTGTCACTGATGGTGGCTCGGGGAAGTTTTTCTATAGGAAAACCAGTGAGTGTCACGGTAGGAAGAATCCAACAGTATGTTAATTAATCCTTTCTCACTGTAACAATGTGATACACACAAAATAATTAATAATATTTTAGCATCAAACACAACCTGTGCACTTTTCAAACACTAAAAAAAAAAAAAAAAAAACTGCCACTCAGCACCCGTTAGCACTAAGCTACCAACTTAGCTAGCAACTGGTTTTCCCAAACATTATTTGGCTATTTATTCATATTTTTAGCTTACTTTTTTGTGCCCAAATATGAGCAATTCTGCTTTATATTTGGCTAACGTTTAGCTATTGTAAAGGCTTTTTTTTTTCAAGCTTCTTGAAGTGACTGATCTTTTTCTATGGTTTATCTTGAATAGTTACTAGCATATAATAGCTAATTTTGAACATTTATTGGTATTTCTGTCGGGACTTAGTTACTAGCATATAATAGCTAATTTTCAACATTTATTGCTACATTTCTGTCAGGACCTAGCTTCTCTTGTTGACTCAAGACAACATTATAACTTCATGGCTATCAGAAGCTTATCTTAAAAAAAGATATCTTTAAATACGTGGACTATTTACTGTCATAACTTTCTGAGGAAGTCTAAGGTGATTTTTCAGTCTCCGCTAAGAACCTAAAGTGAAGACATTTGAGATTCATTTCAAGTGCACAGGAAAAGTAACAGTGAGGCAGGGTGGTGTCGCTGGTCAAAGTAAGACATGTAATGATATTGCAAAGCACTCAGCTTGTATGATTTCAGCCGCCTAAACACTTTGATGTGCTCTTCAAGGGGTTGCCATGCCTTAATGTAGCTTTGAGGAAGCGTCAGCAAAAATGTAAACGAAGAGGAAAAAAAAAGGACAAGTATGGAGGACGGGAGGTGGGGGGAACACAGGAAGGACCGGTCAGGTTCTTCCTCCCTGCTGAGAAAAACCTTTTTTTTTTTTTTTTTCAAAACTGTAGCACATCAGCCTCTTTGTAAAGGAACACGGGGCCAATTAAAGGGGGAAATATATAAATAACAGGGCGGCAGCATTGCTGGATCATCTAAAAAATAAAAAATCACGCTTTAATATGAGGAAAGATTAAATAACTCACGGCTCTGCTGTCAAAATAAACTGAGAACAGCAACTTAAGGAAAAAATGCTGCTCGGCTTGTTTACATTTTCTGGAAATGCAAGAGCTGCGGACTGCAACTCTATACCGTTGGTCTGTTCCCTGTGGTTTTGACCAGTGAGAAAACGCATTACACGGAACCTCAGTGTCTACGCAGAGGAGTGAGGCTGAAGAGACCAGCGGTAGTGAAAGTCTTGGATTTTAACTAGAGACGATTTAAACAACTTTTAACATCTATGCATTTGATTTAACTAAATGTAGTACCAGTTAATGAGGAAATTAATTCAAGATGGTGGAGAGGGAGGGGTTCAAATCCAAAACAATGGCAAGCGACGGGACAGTTCTCAAGACTCAAGTTCTTGTCTTACTAATGGTTTTAAACTTTCGGTAGATGATAAAAAATTAAATAGTCTTTGACAGAGTAGACTTCTAATTTGAAATCCCTGGTCAAACTCAAGTACTTATCAGGAGCTTTTTGAGGGAGGGGCATTCATTTCATAACGATGAGGCTGCAACAATTTCACAGTTAATAAACATTTTTTTGTAAATTTAAGAACCGCATTTGTGATGGTTATTTTTGTAAGGGACAAAGTAAATATCCTTTTAGCGTTTCACTCACACATATTTTTCTTATTTATTTTTTTACATATTTTGATAACTAACCTTTGCTGTATTAAGTTCCTAACCTTTAATGGTAAAATTGTAATTATAGAAGGGGAAGAACAACGCGAGTGTTTGTGTGCGTGAATGTGTGTGAGATTGCAAAGAATGATGAAACAGTCAGTGTAGCATTAAGTAATGCAGCAAATAGCACTGAGACAACCTTTAACTAATTCACATCTGTTCCGACTTCAAAGCCCGAGGATGTTTTCAGTTAACTGCCGTTCATTTAAGAATCTCTGTAAATACCTGTTTCCACGTCCTGGGCGTAGATATGCAAGGTGTCGGTGATTTCTGTGACGAATACCGCTCTGTAATTGGCCACGCGTTCCTTCTCCTCTGTGACGTGGACGACCTCCTCCACTGGTTTCTCTTCATAGTTGGCCCAGATCTGCAAAGAACAGGCATCAGTAAGGACAATTACATCATGTTTTCATTTTTTATACAATAAAACCAATTTTTGAAAGAAATGTCAGATCTGTACTGGTTTGGGGCTGCATTTCAGTCAGTGACATCCTCAAACTTAGAAATGATTTCAAGTAAAATGAGTGGAAAAAAAACTCAATACAATTAAACAATACATTTTCTTCTAAAGTTAATGACCTTTCCCGTATAATAATTCCATCAAAGTGAAACACGTACGTCCACCTGTCATTACAGAAAGAAGTCTATATTTAGGCATGTTGATTTTTACCTCAATTAATCACGATTAATCATAATTAATCCACAGCAAGCCTGTGATTAATCTGATTAAAATTTTAATCATTTGTCAACCCTCAACAATTTCTTTCACAGTTACCTTAAAGAGGGAGTTCATCATAATCATCATTAACAAATCTAATAATGTTTGTAAAGCATGAAAAATTAAAGCCAACATGCATTATATATATTTTTTTGCTCGTCTCATGAGGTTTTATTGACGGCGGTTACTAACCAGGATCTACCCAGGACGCCACCTTGACTTGTCCTTCACATTTGGTTTAGTGTGTAATTCCCACATTTTTCCCCGAGTCAAACTGACCTGTGTCAGAGTTCAGTCCTAGGTCAGGGGCCATGATTACAGATTAGCCATGTAGTGCTCCGCAAGTGACATAAGCTCAGGGAAGAATTTAGCCATTGAGCAATGCAGCACAGGTGTGTGTGTGTGTGTGTGTGTGTGTGTAAGCAGGTTACATCCTTCCTGTGCTGCATCAAGGTTAGTTCTGTTTTAGCTCCCCAGGAGAAACAGAGGGCAGGAGGCTCATCAGGGGGAAGTGGTTTTGCCTTGGGCCACATATCACACTGCGCTGATGTGTGTGTGTGTGTGTTTGTACGTGCGTGTGTGTGTGTGTGTGTAGCATTGACTACAGCAGTAATACTAAACACAGGCATCAACACAGAAGAGTCAGAAAGGAAGTGAGCTAATCAACTCCCTGCAGGTGAAACAGTGTGGACACAGAGTCAGGATGGGTGGAGACCTCAAGAGTCAAAAATGACTTTCATGGTGCAACAACCGCTAATGCAGCAGCGGCGACACAGCTTGTTACCACTTTACTTTAAAGGTTATATAAAGAGCAGGAAAGAGGCAGAGCCATTTTTTTTTTAACAGTTCTGTGGTATTAGCTAATTAGGTTCTGCCTAATTATTTAACTGCATGGTATCATGGAGCTAATTAGATTAGCTAGTTTTAATGTTGTCATTTTTCCCCCCACTCTGCTTTAGCTCATGTGCACAGTGACTCTAGTTTTAAGGCTTAGTTAATCATACCCAGGGCTTTTTTGTAATATCCGTCTCTTCAGTGAGCTTATTAGATTAGAATTTCACCTCAACGATGTGGCGATGTGCAGCGGCACGAGTCCCACGGTGACAGAATTTGGTAAAAAAAAAAAAAAGAAAGAAAGAAAACGTTTCCCATCACTAGCGATGAAAGAAGTGACAAGAGAAACCCCCGTACCCGCTAACAAAAGGCTAGGGTCTTAGTATTCAATTAGGTTCAATTATTCATTCAGCACGCACGCACGCACAGACTGACACACACACAAAGATATGGAATCAGGAGGGAAAGGAAAGAGGAACGAGAGCAGGTAGAAATTCTTGGGATTGAGGGCGAGCAAGGTTAATGAAGACTGAAAACACCGCCACGCTTCGTAAACCCGGAGCTCAACCACTATTTTGTACAGCATTAGGTGGCTATGTGCATCATTAGCATACCCATATACATATACAACCATATGCACACAATGTATGCGCGGTCACAAACACTGCTATGCAGGGAATGCGGTAATAGGCATGCTCTCCGCACCGCGATTGAGCCGCTGTAGCTCGGCTTTTAATCAAACCTGCAGCACCAATTAGGAATGACAAAGATTAGAGTGTCAGCATTCATTAGCCCGGTGGCCATCACCGCCACACAGTTAGATGGTAACAAGGAGGAGGGTTTCATGGCGGAGATTGGACACCGCGGCCACAAGGTTTCGTGTCAACTCTGGCTTTGCGAGGGCGATTGTCACAGCAAGGGTGCGAGGGAGTAATGAGGTCTTTTACCTGCACCGGTTTATGTGCCTTAGGTCGGGTTAGTGATGAACATGTGATGAGCTCTCCTTTAGGTAAACTTCTCATTCGATAACTTGAGTTTTTAGTCACACTTCAAATGTTGTTTTTCTTAACACAGAAGTTCCATCTCAGTAAAAATACAGCTGTCAACTTCTGTGTAGGCAAACAACCCACTGGAAGCGTTAGTGTTCCATTTGGGTTGTTAACCAGTGTGTGTTTTTCGCACCTCTAATGTAATTGCCATCTCTTGTGGCAGGTGTCCAATGAAAATTACCGCTGCTTCTTCAGCTCTCTTTGAAGCAATGTGTATAAAATTGTGCTAACACCTTCTCCATGCGGGAGGGATATGGTGCAAGCAGCGTGTTAGCAGATAAGTAGCGGCGGCAGCAGCAGCAGCTTCACCGCTCCATCTGTGTGGTTTAGACACGGCGTTGAGCATCAATCACACAGATTTTTAATTGTCTGTACATAAAGCCGGGAGGAAACGGACACGTGTGACGGTAAGAACCTTGAATGGATGAAAAGTCTCTGCCTGTTCTTTTAGATAAATGAGGATAGTTATTGACGTAGGTGACGTTCTTGGTGAGATTCCACCTTGTCTGCATTGTGCCACTCCACAAGTTCCATATATATATATCAGTCTCTCTCTCTCTCACATACATACATATATACTGTATATATATACATACATACATATATACTGTATATATATATATACATGTATATACATACATATATATACGTGTATATAGATACATATATATACATGTATATAGATACATACATATACATGTATATAGATACATACATGCACATGTATATAGATACATACATATACATGTATATACATACATACATGTACATACATACACATGTATATACATACATACATGTACATACATACACATGTATATAGATACATACATACACATGTATATAGATACATACATGCACATGTATATAGATACATACATGCACATGTATATAGATACATACATGCACATGTATATAGATACATACATATACATGTATATAGATACATACATATACATGTATATACATACATATATATACATGTATATAGATACATACATATTACATAAATATACATGTATATACATAAATATACATGTATATACATACATACATGTACATACATACACATGTATATACATACACATATACATACATAAATGTACATGTATATACATACATACATGTATATACATACGTACATACACATGTATATACATACATACATACACATGTATATACATACATACATACACATGTATATACATACATACATACACATGTATATACATACATACATACACATGTATATACATACATACATATATATGTATATACATACATACATATATATATATATATATTTAATTGTTGCACAGAGCTAAACACAACAACATCCTGAAGGGCAAAGTTCTGAGATTCGCTACTCCATTGGCTTCATCTAAAAACAACAGGTTGATTATTACGTATTCACCCTGTACAGAACTTGTATGTGGACTATGACACTTGGGACGGCAAAATACAACTTTTTCATGTCAGTCAGTGATACAGCAACTTGGAGTATCTGTTGATCCTTGTTGCCATTACCTATAATGATATTTCATATTTCTCTATTGTTTTGAAATATTGACCTTCATATGACCTTTCGATTATCTTGAACTGATGAACCCTTTATGTAAACTATGGCTAAGAGTTTTTCACATTAAGAAATTTAAAGAAATATATAGCATACATATAGGAGGCACAGTCATTGATACAGAGCCAAATAAACTGATGAACGAAACTCTCCTCAGCATTTATCAGTTATCAGGCCAATACTCCAGCCAGAAGATATAGAGATTTGGCTCGTGGCATTTCAGCCAGTCTGACATTCACATTTGATAAATGCAGTTGAGATTGTCAGAGTGAAGTGCTTTCACAACAGCAGGACAATGTCTGGGATATCCAGACAGAAAGACTGATGCTGCGTCCGGGTGAATGATGGAAAGCTTTTTTTTTTTTCTCCCGCCTCTTTTTTCACCTTGGAAATGCAATTGAAGTCAAAAGAAAAATAACTAAAGTGTTTTTGTTTTTCCTTAGGGCTTGTTTGGACATGGAAAATAAAATACTGGCCTAAGTGTGAGTCTGAACCCACAGTGTCTTCCACTGACTGTGCAACGTTACCTGTGACCAAAACCCACGTAATCAGGGTGATTATAGACTCGTGAAGTGTGGTTTCGCTTCTTTTCACGGTGAACCGATGCAAACACAATTTACTATTCATCTCTTTTA